ATCCTTGTTGTGCCTCTCTTGATTCATTCATGTCTTTTTGGTTACACAAAATACCTACAGAGGTTATCCCAGGGGTAGAGTTTGATGGGAATTCAAATATTCTGGTCTCTGTCAGGAGGGGGTGGTAATCCTTCCTAATGACTTAAACAGACACAGAGTTCAACTTCTGTGAAAACAAATGCTGAACATTTTAATGGGAGTTGCTGAATACATATATTTCGCCTCATCCTGAACTTTTGATTTCCTATCGGATTTCTCCATCTTATGAGTCACAAGGTAGAATTATATCATCAGCCCTATTTCTACCGTTACATCGTACAGAGAGCCTTTTGCGTCAGTTCAGAAGATTACTCAGAAAGAATCTAAAGAGCATGTTATAAGCAAACAAGACATTTAAAGGGATAGTTCAATCAAAAATGAACATTCTGTCATTATTTACTTATACCTCAATTACCCGTATGAATTTCTTTCTTCTGTTGAACACAAGAGAATGTATTTTGAAGAATGTTGGTAACCAAACAGTTGGCAGTAGCCATTGACATCCATGATATTCTTTTGTTTAACAGAAGAAAGAAACTCAAACATGTTTGGAACATCTTAAGGGTGAGTAAATGATGAAATAATTTTTTGGGGGGGGCGGTGAACTATCCCCTTTAAGAGTAAAACGAATTCAAACATATATACTTGTAGTTTGCATTTTTATAAAAAAGTTTAATTGAAACATTTACTATGTTCCAAAGAGCATCTCAACCCTTCTTTGTTTTCAATATTTCAAATCCTTAATGTTCTGTTTACTACCAGGTTTAAACTGAATCCCAGCTCTTCAATGTGACTCTTGAGCCCCGCTGTACACTGAGGTAATATTGGTCTGCTAGCTTTACAGAGTCCATATTTTTGTGTCATGCCAAAAGGATGTGATTAATTGTGTGTCTCCTGGCGAGGCTGTTAGACAGGAGAGAGTTAAGGGCACTCAGGTCTAATGCACTCTGACTGTACTGTCAACTCTATGCTAACACGCTATCTGGAGGCAACCAGAGCAGGACTCCAAATGTCAAGCACTGTTAAAGTAACTCCACATCTAGTGCTGCAGCCATGCTCTGAATCCTAATCTCTTTGTTTATTTGATTGCTTTTATATATACATTTTGGAACAAGTAAATTATGCTCATCTATCTCTTATATATGTTTACAGATTTAAACATGAGTGTGAATGTTTGTGTATATCATATATATGTTTCAATTTAATGTAAACATACACATTTTAATAATACATTCAATTATTTTATTCAGTGATCTCAAAGGCAATATAATTTTTTCTTGCGTATTTCTAAAAGTGAGAGTTTTTAAAGATGTTCAGCTAATGTAATATCAATAAGAAAAGCATCACCAAGACATTTCATGTGAAAGCAGACATAGCCAGCAGGAAAAGTAGGAAATAGGGCATATAAATGCTTGGCTGGGCATTGTTCAGGCAGCCTGTCATGAGACCAGAATAGCTTCATCTCCAAGCACTTTGTAGGCAGCATTTTCCCTCCACAAGATGCACATTTTTATTTTGTAATTATTAATAATAATAATGTAAAACACAATAAGCTCCCATTGGTTAGCGTTAGTTATTGCATTATCTAACTTCAACTAACAATAAACAATACATTTATTACAGTATATATTAATCTTAGTTAGTTAATAGAAATACAACTGTTCATTCCAGGTTCCGTTTTTTTTAGATTTATACATCATCTGAAAGCTGAATAAATAACTATATATTGTTAGGATAGGACAATATTTGGCCAATATATAACCACTTGAGAAAATCCCCCTTAAATTTGTCCAAATGAAGTTCTTAGCAATGCATATTACTAATCAAAAATTAAGTTTAATATATTTACCATAGGAATTTTACAAAATATCTTCATGGAACATGATCTTTAATTAATATCCTAATGATTTTTGGCATAAAAGAAAAATCTATAATTTTGACCCATATAATGTATTGTTGGCTATTGCTACAAATATACCCCAGCGACTTATGACTGGTTTTGTTGTCCAGGGTCACATATAATCTAGCATATATTATGGATACAGAGTTCTATATCACACACAAAACATTTTTAAATGCTTACACATTCCAAAGTTTTATTAGTCTGTATGGAGAGTGTCCCATTTCCTAGTACAGTAAAACAACTGTGAGGATTTATTTATTTACTGAACTGAAAATATGTCCTTGTGGCTGCTAACTTCTACTTTATTAATAGGGATCCTCTCCACCCTAATAAATCTTACTTTTCTTTAGCATCACAGAAGGCAAACTACAGGTAGGTCAACCTCAAATTAATTTTCTGTATGTAGTTAAGCTTAAGATATAAGATTAAAATGTTACACTATTAAACTGATTAAATATATTGGCATCAAAATCTTTTTTGTCTGTGTGATGCACAGAAGAATAAAAATAATCAATGTTATAACCCACACACTTGAACTGAACACTGATGAAAGCCCTTCTAATTTTGGATGCACTGTATTAATGTATTTAATACAGTTTCATATTGTGATTTTTCCAGTGCTGACCCATTAGAGGCTCTGTGTCAAATGCAGGCACACCCCATCAGCCCTGGTTAGTTGACTCTGGGCAGCAGGGCAATAAAGGCCAGCACATGGGGCCTGAATGACTGATGCTGAATTGTACTGCTTCAGCAGACCCTTACGCCCGTTGTTTCAGCAGGAACACAACAGGTGGATGGGATGTATAGTTAAGGATGTGTTTTATGCTTATATCCATTGGAAAGTTTATTTTGAATCGCAAAGCTGGTAAGTCATAATGGTTCAGTGTTTTTATTGGTTTAGACCCTAAAGGCATTTTTACATGGTTTAGTTAAATGCATTGATTTTTTTTTTTGTATATTATTTTCACTTTGTGTGCATCGTCAATATGGTTTTTGCTGTAGATTTAATCTTTAGCCCGGCAAAGATTTCCTCATTATTTTTTCCCGGAGATGCTCCAGCGTTACGTAAAGCTTTTGAACAATCACGCTAATTAAATCATCTCCATGAGTGAGTTTGGACTTCAGTAGCTCTGCAATCTGCTACATAATGTGCCTTCAGAATCTGTAGATCTCATCTGGCAGAGCACGGCTCTGTCTCTCTGCTTTTATTCGCTCACGTGGTCTCATGTGCTGTTGGTGAACTATTAACATGCCCATTAAATACTTAATTACCTTCCCTGGGAAAAGAGGTTTTCTCAATCATGACGGCCCCATTAAGTTTAACTGGTTAGTGGCAGTGTTTTTCAACCTGTTGAGAATTGAAAATAAAAGACAGGCATGACAACAATGTATACAGAGCTCATTGTTTTCCATTGTTTGTTTATAACTGGTTATCTCTACTCGAATAGCTTTATTACCAGCTATTAACTAGTCAGGTTATCAATAGACATTTCACTTGAGATATGACAACACTCGGCTACTCTTTGATCATGCGCTCTCATGCAATACTGCAACTACACTTTGTTGTGCAAATTTGACACGTTTTTAGTCACTTTCCTTATCTCAACATTGATTCAGATCACATTTCAGACTCTGTTCATTAGTGATTTTGCTTGGTTTTAACCATAGTTCTTTCCTGTCACATTTATAATTGTATAAACTGACATTGATCATTTCATGGATGGTGGTGGTGGAGTTGTTAGAAGATCAGGCAGAGCGATCAAAAGCTCAAGTCTCAATCACAGACAGACAGCGGTTCCTATCAGATTAGAGGTAGATGGTTACATTGGGAGGGGGAGACAGGTCAAAGACTATCTAAAGCTTTTATGGTCTATAAAAGCAACAAACTCAGCTTAGCGAGTGTGCTCAAAGGTCATGGGAATGCTCATTGTTTATACAGACAAACGTGGGTTTAAAAGCATTAAATCATTTTTGTTAAACAGTCAAGACAAAAGCATTTGGAAATGTAAGCCACATTTTTTTTTAAATAATGTATGAATTTCATTGCATTTAATAACATTTCAAGTGGCATCTGTAAACAAATGATGCTAGGCTTTTTCGTAGAACTAACTTCACTTTTTAGTGATTTTTTTTTTGGTCCTAAAGTCACATTTAGTGAATATGACAATGACAAATTCAAAAGTTTAAGGTCAGTAAAATGTTTTGAAAACTGCTATACATTTTTTAGGATTATTTATCAAGAGAAAGTTCAAAAGAACAGCATGTATTTGAAATAGAAAAAACGTTAACATTATAAATGTTGTTACTGTCACTTTTGATCAATTTAATTCAACATTGCTAAATAAGTGTCTTAATTCTTATTAAAAAAAAAAAAAAACTTTTAAATGGTATTCCGTTTCCTTCAAGTTCACACAGATGTCCTACAGGCAACCACATATGTAGTTTGTCACATTAACTATGAACATGATCCACTAACATTTCATAACTAGAAAGTGTCAGAATACTTATAATTTTCAACAGTATATCTATTGTTTTTTTATTAAAACCTAGCAAATTCTCTTTAAAAGTGCACTTGTGCTGTTCTTCTTTCAAATAAAAGCCACTTGATATCATATTTTGATACACTGCAAAGAAATTCATACATTATTAATTGTGGCTTATGTGTACTAATATATTCTGTGGCCACTCTGTGTTTTTCATGGCTGTTTGATGGTCATGCATTTTAATGAGCATGAATGTTCTATGAATTTCACTCCTGTACACGTGCACACACATACATGTGTAGAAAAATGCTTTTTTCCAGAGAGCCTCAGGGCAGAATTCCCAGCAAAAGTTAACAGGCAAATTCCAAGTCCAGGCTGAATGAAATTCCCATGTCATGTCGTGTTCTCTACTAGTCGTCCAACCATCCCCCTCCTTCTCCTTCTTTTCCAGACTCCCTCCCTCTCTCTCTCTCTCTCTCTATCTCTCTCAATCTTGCAGACCTCCCTCTTTCCCTTTCTTTCATACTCACTGCTCTCCAGAGTTCCATTCTGACTCGTCTGTGTCCGTCAATGTGGTGAATATTTCTGCCTCCTGCATTCTCCGTGTCACATTCCAGCTTCCAGGGCACAGCGTCCTCCTGACATGGGTTATAAAGAGAAGCACAGCTCCAGTATGCATCCGCATACGGCGTTATGATCACCTTTTACCTCCAGTGACTTTTTTTAACTGTTTTGAATAGGCAAACAGACTCTCTAGGAGAATTTACCTTTCCTTTTTATTCCTTCCTTCCTTGAGTTTTTTTTTCCTACTTGAATGCAATCTCACTTACACAGAAAGCTCACTTATAAACAGTGGAATACTCAAGTAAAACAGTGTTTTACGGCTTCAGCTCAGATGTGTGTGCATGGACAAGAAAAAGGACAGAATACATTGGGTGAGTTTGAGTGCAACTGAATGATGATCATGTTGTCATTATGATTGTGCATTAACAGTTACTCATTAAACTAAATGAAATGAGTTACACTTATTAAATAAATATATATTATTATATATTTTTGTATATAATATTATTAATATTAATACAAATATTATATTATATTATATTTTATTTTATATTAAAGGCTGCTTCATAGGTCCTTTACTGCCCAGTTGCTTTAAAGTTTTTAATAATCCAGTTTTCACAAGTGGAATGTCAATTGTGTATTGACTACAACTGTAATATTAATATATATGAATATAAAAAAGTGAGATTCTCCTCAACACAATTCAATGCATTTGATTGCATTTCTCCAGCCTCTTGCCATATATACAGACATGATATAAATCTAGTAATCTACCGTATTAATATTTTCCATAATGTGGCTGAGAGCTCACTAGGAAGATGATTTATGGAAGATGTAATTGCACAACACACCAATGTCCTAACTGCAGATGTTTTTTTTTGGGGGGGGGGGGGATAAAATAGTCATCTCAATTGCAAAGTGCCAGATTATCTATATTCACAGGTGTATATTAGACTGAAAGTCAGTTCATCAGACTCAGGTGGGGGGTTTGTGAGTGAGCGCCATGTTGAAGTTGAAAGGGAACACCTTTGCTCTCCGTGTTAAATAAAAGCTGTTGAATGACTCTCAGGGGTTCTGGACTCTGTTTGAACAACAGCACGCTTGCAGGATTTCCTTTAACACTTCACATTAGATTGATGTCTTTCTCTGCTCGGGAGGGCTGAACAGGGTCAACATTGTCCCTCGAGCACAACCAGACACCCACTGAGACTGAAACAAAACCTAAATGTTGATTATGGCTGTTTGTAGACACTTTGTAGAATTAACTAAACAATTAAAGCAAGTTTTGTGGATTTTTTTGTGGATTTTTGATTAACACTTTACAATAAGGTTCAGCTCAGTACCATTAGTTAGCACATAATGTATCACGCATTAAAAATAAACAGCATCACTTATTAATCTAGGCTAATGTACAAACATAATATTGTTGATTGTTAATTCATGAGTGTTTATAGTACATTAGGCAGTGCTAATTTCTACACCGTGAAATGTTAAAGTGTCCTTATTATGGGTAATGAAACTTCATATTTTGGTTTTGGGAGTCCCCAACAACAGGTTGAGATGCATGCAAGGTCAAAAAACTCTTTCATTGTCTTATAATATGCATTTATTTTTACCTTACTTGCTCAATGACTCCCAAACGATTCGCTCAACTATTCATTTTTCCAAACCCCTCCTTTGCATGACGCTAATCTGCGGTGATTGGTCCGATTGGTCTCATTTTCATTTCATCATGCCTGTAATGCCTGATAAAGCAGCGTTTGTGAGCTCAGTGCTGCTTTCTGTACAGCCGTTACCAGGGAAACAGCTATTTTTACCGCTCCAAAAGCTGCACCTAGTGGCAAAGAATGAATTTGCATTTTCATTCAGACCAATGCGAAAAGACAAACAAGTGGGCGGCCAATATGCTAATGTTTCATGTTGATGTCAACATAAAACGGCTTGGGATTCGTTTTAAAAACGACTCGTTTCAATGATTCAGAGTCGACTCTTTCTTTTGAGAGACAATAACTTTATACACGGTGCACTTTCAGATTTAAAACTTTGCATGTTTTCATTCACTTAGAGCTGTGTTACACACTGCATGAAAGGTAATTTTCAAAAATCCATAATAGGGGAACTTTAAAAATTTATTAGTATATGTAAAAAATTAACAAACTAAATTAAACTGCTGTAGTAAAAGCAATTTAATTTTCAGCTAAGTTAACATACTGAATCTAATTGCAAAATGTTGATACTCTTAATTAGTATTTAGACAGAAATTGCGTGTAAACACGTAAACACACACAACTGCAGTCCCAGATACCTCAATCAGGATGTTTAGCATAATAATTTTATCTAACAGGAGATTCTCTGTGCTGGTCACCGGAGTCAATGGAGAGGAAGTCATTCCTCCTATTTTATACCTCTATCCTCAAAAACACAAAGACCTCAATGTCTAAACCATAATTGAACTATTAGCTAATAGCTACCTAGCCAATTGTTAGAATGTGATGTCCTTGTGGCCACGGACCTCATGACTAGAAACAATACTTTCACTCACCTTCAGAGTCTGCCTGCTGTTGCCTGCTCTGGTTCTCGAGGGTCTCCAATCGAAGGACCAGATGTTGGCAGGACTTCCTGCCACTCTAGTGGTCTCAGACAGCTGCTTTGTGTCAGCTCCTGTCCCGCTCCTAGAGCAGTAACCGTGGGGCCAGTGGCCCTGAACACACACTGGGCGGCATTGTTCAGTGAAATAGGCTGGACACACAGGATTCAAACAGGTCTGAGTTGAAGTAAGTGTAGTGACCAGTGACTTAAAACTGAATGGTCATGTTGTTCCAGACCTGAATGACTTTCGTTCTCCTGTAGAAACACAAATGGAGATATTTAGTAGAATGTTCTTGCTGCTCTTTTCTGTTCATTGAAAAAAATACAGTAAATATAGGGCCCGTCCAGATCCATAAAAGATAAAAAGCACTGTAAAATTCCTATAAAAGTATTTGAAAGTAGTTTGTGTCACAGTGAATAACATTTTATCACCAGCATGTTTTTAGATATTTCTTGTTGTCTGTTTATTATGCTCCCTGTTTCATGCTTTAGCTGTCCTCCAAACTTAATTTCATCTTTTCCCTGTTGGTTTGGCTGGTTGAAGTCACTATGCACCATTATAATGTAATTCAACAAAGTGGAAAAAGCCTTCTGTCAGTATGAATCAGGCTCAATAATACACAAGACTCTGGCAGCGAGCATGTGGTATTTTATGAGCTCCTATGCCATTAAACTCAAGGATTTGCCTATGTTTTGTATGAGATATGTGTTTTATGCCGCACTATGGCCGGCCTATCGCATGATTCAGCATACAGCAGCTCTGCCAATGGGCTGCAGTTAAGCAATTAAAAAGAAAACAAGAACAAGTGGCTATGGTTAAAATGAAAAACGCAAGGAACAAACTAAAAACAATGGGCCTTTGTGTTATCTATTTTAAGGTTTACGTCATTTTAAAACAAGCCTGCCTCAAAAATTCAATGCATTGCTTATCATTTTCAAATGTTTCATTGAGTCCGAAATTCTCATCCGAAATTTTTGCATGTTAAAAAATAAATACGACCACACGTTGTACACGTTTACACACTGCCTTTCGTCCGTCATAATAAAAATAAAAAAACGTATCAGATTCGATTTTCTGCATTTTCGTATGTGTAGTAAGCATTTTGATAGGAAAAGATGACGAATATGAAAAATTTCGGACTCAATCCTCCATTGTTTTATGTAAACATGGACTAAATATGCGTAAGACAAACTAAACTTCTTAAAAAAAGCATCTCTAGATTTGAAGAATGTACTGGTCGGAGGTGCAACATGTCTACTACACCACAAAACAGCTACACTATGCATCAAAGCGAATGTTCAAATGTGTTGTTGAAATCAGCACACATGCAACGAGCACCTCAGAAACAGAAAAATACAACTCTTTACTGTTGACAACTTGATGCATTGCGAAGTGACACATCTAGTGTAGACAGACAGCTTCGTTGATCATAATGGGTTTTATTTGCTTTTGACAGGACATGCAGCTTGCGTCTGGTGTGAAGTCAGCACGCCACATTACAATTATGAAGGCATTTCATAGCTTCAGACCTCATTAATTATAGTAGTTAAAATAGTTCAAAACTTCACTTAATTATGTGTTCTGTGAAAGAAATTCATATGGGTTTGGAAGACGTGATATGAGTAAATAATAAAAGAATTTAAATTTTATAGACACTAACCCTTAATAAGTCTTTCATGAGCTTGTGTGGTGAACAAGTTCAGCATAATAAGACCCCAAATGCTTTTAACAGTCTTGTGGCAGGAAGTCTAATCTGCATTAGAAACTGATCATAGTTTCTGTTCAAGCTTGATCTTGCATAAATATGGTAATACTTAGCATCTGTCCACACAGACAGTTTCTTTCCTAGTGAAACAGATTGGTTAATGTCTGATGTTAACAGAGCTGACTCTTTGACCTATAATTATAAAGAAGCTAATTGTTTAATTCTGAGCCAGGTGTACGTCGCCTCTAGCAGATCAACTGTGCAGGCAACAGTTCAGCTGTTCGCTACTAACCACAATGGCTTTCTTTTCTTTCAGAACTGAAGATTATTTTACACGCAGTGTAGCAAGTGACTTCAGCCAGTTGTTTTAATTTGTTGGGGTTCTCTTGAAGGTTAACCAATATTTTGTGGGAGGCAACTAACACAAATGCAGAGTATATGATTTTTCTAAGATGGAAATAAAATCGCAAATGAAATAAATGATCAAGTGTCCTTCATAATCGTCAAATAGGCCTCTCAGGTGCCTGATCAAAGACGATACTGTGTACCATGTGTGCCACGATGGTAAGAGGACTGGCTGAATGTTTGTTTGTTTATCCTGTGGGGTCTGCTCTGAATGTGTGTGCATGCGCTTCAATGTTCGTCTGATCTGTCAGTAAGAACATAATCTTGCCTCCAGCTTACTTACGTGGTAAAACTAGCTAGGTCTGTGTTCTCAGAGACAGGACTTTTGTGAAGGACAGTGGAATGGTATGAAGCTTACAAGGTATACATTATTACTTTAGTATAGAGCCTTGCACATGACATGCAGACAAAAATATATTTATTGTGACCACAAATTTAGAATTTATTCCCTCGTATTATTAATTCACTCCCTACCTTTAGTTAAATCATGGCCACAGATGAAGAATTCATCAGACAATTTATTAATTGGTTCTCTAGATCTTTTTAGTAAATGTAGCCACGTTGTACTAATTTGTTCCCTCATTTTGATTTAATTAAAATGAGGGAACAAATTAGTACAACTTAGCAATGATTTACTAAAACATGGGAACGACTTGGGACAATATGATTTAAAGTGAGGGAATGAATTAAATTGTAAGATGAATTCTTAATTCATTGCACAATGTGGCCACGTTTTAATAAAACGATGGAAATTTGTTAGTATAATGTTGTCATGATTTACTAAAACGAAGAAACTAATGAATACAATGTGGCCACGATTTAATAAAATGATGGTAACTAATTAGTAACAAGGCCACGATTTAATAAAATGAGGGAACAAACTAGTACAATGTGGCCACGATTTAAAGGGGTCATATGATGCAATTTCAATTTTTCCTTTCTCTTTGAAGTGTTACAAGCTCTTGGTGCATAAAAAATATCTGTAAAGTTGCAGAGACTAAAGTCGCAAATCCAAAGAGATATTCTTTATAAACGTTAAGAGTCAGCCACACCTCCCTGGAAGATTTGCATAACACCGCCCAAATGTTCATGCAAAGAAAGAAGGCGTAAGTTTTATTCTCGCTGTAGTATTGTTGCCGCCGCCATGTCGTGAAGGCGCTGTGTGTTTTGTTGTGAAAGCGAAACTACATTGTTTGGTCTTCCAAAAGAGGACGATATCTGCTTCGTCATGCCTGGAGCTGATCCGTGCTGGTTGCTGAGGAAATACTACAACTTAGTGCTGTGGATCGCCGGATCGGCTTTCACCGTGGACGAAGCGGAGTCCAGCCCGGGGTCGTCACATGTGGTTGCCGCAAGCCCGCCGGATGCTCCTTCCTCGAATCCGCCGGCCGCGCCGTTCTCAAGCCCGCCGCCTCTGCTCACTCTAGCCCTCCGGCCATTCCTTACTTTATCCCCCGGCCTCTGCAGAATGATAAATATAAAAATATAAAAAATAAAAAAAAATTTTAAGAGTTTTTATATTTTATATATGTAAAGCGAGTTTTTTGGGCAGTGTAAAGTAGGGCTTGTTGTTTGTCATTTCTCCGATCACAAATGCAGACATGGTTTTATGTTTACGCGGCGCGATGCAATGCGTAAAAAGACAGTATAAGTCATTATAATCCATAATTATGTCCCCACTGGATGCAACGAATGCCTCGTTTATAATGGGTTTTCATGTTTTGGAATCATCGCTCCGGCCTGACAGGGCATCACAATATGGTAAGGGGCGTAACATTTCCATTACACGCTTGAGGTATTCGGCCAATCACAACGCACTGGATAGCTGGCCAATCACAGCACACCTTGCTTTTTCAGACCGATGAGCTTTGTAAAAATCGATGCGTTTCAGAAAGGCGGGGCATAGAGGAGAAACAATAATGTACAGTATGTGGAAAATAATGTGTTTTTTAACCTTAAACCGCATTAACACATTTCATTACACCAAATACACAAAATAATATTCTTTTTAGCAGCATCATATGACCCCTTTAATACAATAGTAACTGATTAGTACAACGTGGTAAAGAAAACGAGATAATAAATTCTTAATCCATGGTTATGATTTAACTAAAATTAGAAAATTAACAATACTTTTGTTATTGTGGCAACAAAACGTTTGTCCCCCACATCATGTGCGGGGCTCCGTACTTTAGTGTGAGTATTATTATTATTTGAAATGTAAGCTTCACCATTACTGGTTTAAAAGTTGTTGTTTTTTTTACATGGCTCAATAGCCTCTGGTTATATGTTTCTGCTTGAACTACTGCTGTACTTATTTTATGCCCATATGGAGGTTGTGCATTTCAAGAATAATTACCCATAACCCCAAACTTAAAGAAACGTTCACTTGAAGATAGGATTCAACTGGGAATGCTGTGCCAGTCACTTAGAGCCAAGGTACACAGAGCCGTAAAAACACAGAACACACACGGACATCCCTTGGGACCGGTTTGAACATAGTTCTCCACTAAAGTGCTCAAAAAAAAAAAGAGGTGATTCTACTAAAAAAAATCTCTTTAGTCAAAATCTTCGTTCTGTTTCCAGGAAGCCAGCCCTAAATGAACTCATCATGTTTTCTTGCTGTAACAGCAAAAACCAGCAGCATGTTAAACACGGCTCTCCTAAGCACCCACTTTTCTCTCATAGTGGTTATGGGTCAAAGAAACTGATGCTAAATCAGTACAAAAGGGCAACATCCTTCAACAGACCTCTGTTTTCCATCTAACTAAATCTCTCATCATGACAACAAATAGTTAAATGTGGCATTATAAAAACAGTTCTGAAAAGAAAACGTCTAAAGTGACGTCAAATAATATAGCGCTCTGTCTGTCTCTCTTCTTTTCTAGGCAGCTGAGGTATGGAAAAGCTTTAGTTTCCCATCTGTGTGGGGATAAGTACATTTAGGTCCTCCAGCTCCACTGTTCTGCTTCACTGAGCTAACAGAGGCTGAGTTGGAGAGAGCTGAGACTGGCCCTGCATTCTGAAACCTAATATTAGAGAAGAAAAAAAGCAAGGGAGAAAAAAAAGAAAAGAAAAAAAAACAAGGCAGAGAGGAAGTGTAGCATTAAGGCTGGCAAATGAATCTGCCCAAAGTCATGTTTT